ATGATCGCACGGGGCCGCCCAGTGCGCGTCGCCAATGATTTCTTTTCCATATGCTTACGAAGCAGTAGACTAACTTGTTAATGAAGTTTTGTATAATAACTGGAAAACGTGCTGTCAGTTTGCAAAGACGTTTTTCTTCCTCATTCAGATCCTTATATTCGTCCATTTTCAGGGCTGCAGAACAATCGACAATTGGCACTAGTTGGAAGATACTTTCTAGCATCTAAACATTAGCTTCTGTTAAAAATTACAAATTTCTTCAAATGTGTTTGGTGATGTTACTAAAGTGCTTCACACGCCAAGTGCAGGTATGCCACTTCCTTATCCTGGACGGGTTACTTTCAGTTGGTATCTACCGGCTGTTTGATGTATGTGAACCGTCTGTTCATTTACTTTCTCGTGGGCACCATTCACTAAGCTCATCCCCACTAGTTATCGGCAAGGCGAGCAGCATATTTTGCCGATCGGATCTTATGTTTGCAAGGTCGTAATGGCATGCTGCACTCCGCTATTTGCGGAGAGTCTGACTGTTCTATGGTCGCAGTGAGATGTGCGAATTAGTATTTTACGGCTTGACAACCCTCCTGTTACGCCATTACTTCAAATCATGCATTTTTATTGCACTCAGGCAGCAGAACTGCACAGCTGGCATACTACTGGCAATGAATTACGGCTAATGAAGCTCCTTATAAGGCTACCTGACGCTCTGTCCTAATTTTCTAGATACGACAATGTAACTATTCATTTTCTATACAAGATAACATTTCTTAAGGGATTCTGAATGCAGTGTGCAATGCAAGATTAACTGATGATTTTGTTAGGATTGTATTACTGTGCAAAGACAGCACGTAGAGACGAGCTCATTTGGTGAAAAGCTTAAAGCGAAGAATGTAACATGCCTGCAGAGAGAGAGTAAGCTTATTGTAATCATTGATATCAATCGCTTCGATCAGCACATCCAGTAGTACAATCGCATGTTCGCGCAAAGTTACTCGTAGCTTGTCGGACCGAATCTCCGGATAACCAAACGTGTCAGATGGCGGTGTCTTTTTACTATTTCCCTTCTCAAAAAATCTCGTTAAAGTAAAATATCAAATTATCGACAGTCAATAGGACACTTCTCTAGCAAATTAATGGACATTCACGAATCGAATTTTTTGCCCGTGGAAACAGCAGTTCAGCAGTGCACTGAACCCTTCCGACGTCAAGCTGCTCGTGGTGCGCCTAGCATCTTGGATATGCAAACTTCCGAAATCACTGCTTGAAAAATATGCCTCGTGCGACAGTCTTCTCGGTGGTTGGTTGTTTTTGGCGAAAGTGCTTTCACTTAAGTGAAAGGCAAAGGAAGTAACTGGGATGTGGAAAAACTTTCACACTGTTCATCGTTATTTGTAACGATAAAAGCTGTTACAAATAACGATGAACAGTCGGAAACTTTTTCCTCATCTTAATTACTTGGAGATCCAGCAACAGCCTGACTTGATTCTA